CTGTTGGAGTGGCGGGTTTTATTTATTTGGTGGTAGGAGGGAATCCATCCTTTGCAGTCAAACTAAATCCTTCCTCTGAGGACTTATTACGGAACTTACAGGGGATTGTTACCATTACAACTTCCTAGTAAAATAAAACTGCTGGAGGAAGCACAAAACATCTTTATCAGGAACAGAGGGAGAGAGAGAGAGAGAGAGAGAGAGCGAGAGCATAAAAGAGATTTAAGTATACCGTAAAAAAAAAATCATGACTTTTCAGTAGATAAATTATAGTCAGTGATGGTAAGTATCGAGACCTGAGGAGCAGCTTGCAAGATCCAGTGGAGAAGGAGATGAAAACTTAGAGGAAAAATTCAAAGATTGGGAAAAAAGTTAGCCTTGAGGATAGATCCAGAGAGAAAACATGTGATTTCACAGACTGACAATCTCTTCTCCGAAGCCATTGAAGCCAGAAGAATTTTTGGAATTTGGACTGTTTCAACTTTTAGACCAATACTGTATTTTTAATATATATTTATGTGTATATACAGTTATATTTTTATATATGTTATTTATTTGCATACTTTTACATTATATATAATTTCATATTTATGGTATATACTAAAAAGCACCCCCCATATGAGAAGCACTCTGAAATCAAACATTCTCATTGGCAAACATGTGAACATTCACGCTAATATTTTTTAATGACAAAAAATAGCCTCACCTCAGTTCAGTTTTTCCACCAAATGTGTTTGCTGGAAATTAATTTAAAAACAAAAAAACTTTAGGTAAGGGATTGTGAGCCTGCATTAGGATTTCAGGCAGAAGGAAAAGGGCATCTGTAGCGGAGAGGAAATGATGAAAGAAGTGCAGGGAAATTGGCTAGTTTGAGTTTAATATATTCTAGTCTGGACTGATGAAGAGAAGCATATCCTAGTGTTTAAAAATTCAGAATTCTAAGGACAAAAGGAAATATGTTAATACTTTTTGACACTTTAGAATGAGTTACATGCAAAGGGAAAACTTAACTGACATTTGACTTCATTTCTGCATCAGTGGGACGCAGAAGGAATACCAGGATGCACGGAACTTGGGAAGAAAAAGATGGTACCCCAGAAACATATGCCCCCAGACTCTCAGTCCCTGTCCCAGTGCGAGATCGTATTTGCAGATTCCGCAGGGCCACAGGGACTACAGCACGTGGTTATGGAGCCTAGGAATGCAACTGGCAAATCACTTGACTGAAAAACCAATTTACCAGGACATCTACTTTGGAACAGGATGAAGTACCAGGAACCAGATTTGCTCTTCTACCTTAAACCACCAAAAAAAACTGGGCAAAATACAGACAACAACAGTTAGCAGACATCCAGTGCTGAGCATGCGACTGGCCCCTGAGAGCGGGGAGTCCTGAGTCCGACCGGCTCACTGCCTGCAGACTTTCCGACGCACAGCCCAGGGTGCCCAGCCGCTGCCGTGGACGGATCCTGAGACGCAGGCAGTCAGGGTCCGTGGGGCAGAGCCCCCAGTGCAGGGAGCTGCAGAGGCTCACTTCTCGGGCTTCAGCAGCACCCTGATGAGAGCAGGACAGAGGAAACTGAGAAAGGACCACCCCACAGGCATTCATCCTGGCTCACCGACAAAGCCATTTGGTTCAAGTACAAGAGCCCGAGAGGAGTCAAGACAGACACTATGTGGCTCACAATGCCTAAAATAGTTACCATCTGGCTCTTCATAGAAAATGTTTGCTGACTCCTGGCACAGGAGATAAAAAAAAGAACTTTTGAATTGCACCACCTGGGCTCAGATCCCTTCTTCCTCGCTGAGTGACCTTGTCTAAGTCACCTAACCTAAGCTTCGGGTTCCTGTCTGTAAAAATAGCATGATACAGGCACCACCTACACTCACGCAGCCGTTGTGAACATTAAATGGCATAAAAGACTGCAAATGCTCTGAACCCTTACTGGCATTACAGCAAGTAAAATGAATAAATAAATGCTTTTTTTTTTTTAAAGGTTAACTTTTTATTTAGAGGCAGACAGTTCTCGGGTGCTTTATGGTTTCCATCATAACATCAAGCCACATGATTTACCTAATCCCAAACATTCCTTCTCTCCCAACCGCACTCCCATTGTGACTAAAAGAAATGGGCCAAATAATATTTTTAGTGCAATGTTTGCAGGCTGTGGGGGCACACTCTAAAATCCAAGTTACCCTCTGTTAACTATTCTGTAACACCTCACCTTAAATTGGATTAAAAACTTCCCCAGGAGGAAAGGGTTATCTCTTTGTGACTTCCAGGGCCAATGAGAGGGTCTTATGTGTAGGAACGAGGGATAAATGTTTGGGATGGACAGATGGGTACCTGGATGGATGTCATACATCATGGAGGGAGCACCTGGGATGAGTTCTCTGTAAATAATCAGAAGGAAAAGCAGTAGGTCACCAGCCTTGTCCTGCCACTCATCATTAACAGCACCTAGGGCCATGTTCACAGTTCACACCTCCTTGCAGTATACTTGAGGAGGTTTGTCTTGGTTTGCTTTGTTTATTTCCTTCGGGGGTTTTCGTATCTCTGCAGAGGCTCTGCAGAGGCGAAGGACTTAGTTTTCCCCTAGTCATGCCACATGGTCATTACCGGGCTGTGCAAGGTCCCTCCCTTGGTTATTTACTAGCTTTAACCTGCTCACCTCGCCATAAATAACCACTGGAATGTGTTTAATTATGTATTTTCATTTGTGCTGAATTTTTTAAAATACTGTGGTTTTCTGCACATATTTTTAATTTACCTAAAGCCTATTAGGTCCTGTCTCTCTCGCTTTTCACATAGCACGGCATGCCTACACCCACCCCGCTCTGTGCACATTCAGCCACTGGTTTCTAGGCCTGCAGGGGGGACATCCACATGTTTGACCTGTTGCTTTCTACATGTTTATTTTACGGTGCAATTACAAGTAACTTCCCAGTTTAGTCACTCCTGTTTCCCTGATTTGGAAAGAGATGAGGCACTACATCCCCTGACCGTGATGGAAGGGACAGGAGTCCCAGGAAGAGAGGGAGAGGTCAAGGACAGGTCTGCCTGGGTGTGGAAGCTGCGGTCACCTCCTGCCCTTGGCTAAGCTGCTTAGCTTCTCCCTGTTTTGTCACCTAGAGCAGAAACCATAATCTCTGCCCTACCCACAGCAAAAGGCTGATAGGAGGCTTAAGTAAAAGAGTGGGGGAGAAAAAGGCTTTGAATAGTGTTTCTAAGCACACACAGGTGAATCAGCCTGCACCATTCCCTTCACCCGCTGACACCAGAGCCCAGCCTGGTGCCTGGAAAACCAAACGCCCATCCCTGGGCTTTGAGGAGGCCCTCACCCTCAGTGAGACAGGGACCTTGAGGGTAGTCAGAGTAGGGTGAAGGCCTCAGGAAAAAAACAAGGCAGGATATTAGCAGTCAAAGCAATGTAACAATGTAAAGAAGACCCTATCGAAACTCTGTGTTAAGCATTATGCAAAGTCAAGTCACACTAATTCTCTAGGGTAAGGATACCAGACTAGGAATATAGACATCTTCAGTGAGAACAGTTAAAGGTCAAAAGGCCAGGAGCAACTTGGCCTGGAATGTTTTGAAGGGTATCTCAGCATAACCCGTGACTTCACTGTAAACGGCCCTAGCAGACAGACAATAACTCAGCCCACCTGAGGGGCAGGGCAGGTGGTACAAGTCCACACCCTAAGCCTTCAGTTCCCCAAAATCTTCAACCGCCTATAAATCCCCTAGACAACGCACCTCCCCGGGCTCTCTTGTCACCTCCTGGTGTGAACCAGGAGCTCTTTCTTCTCACTTTATTTCTAAATAAAAGCCTCTGCCCTGGGTCTCCTACCTTGGGTGTTTGCTAAGTTCATTCTTCGACTCCGCAAACAAGAACCCTGGCATCATCAGGTCATGCGGTCAATCAAGTGCTGGGCCCTAGGCAGCCTCTTGCCTCTCCTGGTCACTCCCACCCCCTCAGGTGCCTTGACGCTGGGGCTCTGTAGGGAGCTGCAACCTCCCACAGGCAACTAGTCCCAGCACCTGCTCCCTGTTTATCATCTTCTGCCTTCCTCATGCACCCCTACCCTTAGTTCTACCCATGTGGCTTCTTTGTAGCCTGGTGTCTGGGCACAAATGCCCTTCCCAGAATTCCATCCCTAGGAATATCCCACAAGAGAGAATCATGGCTGGCTTCTGTGATCATGATATTAGGCCATGTTGCTCAGTCTACTTCCACATCCACCCAGCAATAGCAACAAGAAAAACATGAGCTCTATTCTATGCTTCATCCAAAAAAATGCCAATTAATCTTCCCAGTGTAGGTGTGGATGCAGCCTCCTAACTCCTTCATGCAAAGACCTTCAAGAGCAGCTCCCAGGACCCTCTGTGCTCAAGGCAGGACTTGAACCAAACCCACCTAGCAGCTTCTCCTACAACCTTTGGGTTAAGCCCTCCCCAGAGGACAGGAATTCCTCTGGTTTTTATGCTGCCTCTGCACCCCAAATATATTTCTAGTGTAGCCATTTTTATTCAGTATTATTGATTGGTTTTCAGGTCTGTTTTTCCTGGGACTGTGAGCTTCTTGAAGGCTCGCCTAGTCACATCGCTCCCTGCCAGCACGTGCTCTGTTTAAGCCACCCAGTTCGTGGTCCTGTGAATGGCAGCTTTAGGGAATGAATGCAGATGGCAATCATGTCTTTATTTCTGTACTTCTTGCCATTGCATCTATAGAGCTCAGCACAGCAACTAGGACATAATAGGAGCTCAGCGAATATTTACTGAATGAAAATTTTGAACTCTGGAGAACAGAGAGGAGATGTGGTTTCTGTACTTGAAGCTTTATAATGTAATGGAAAGTACAGAGAAAGAAAAAGACAATTCAAAGCATGCGCTTAATGCCAGGCCAGAGACATGAACGGTCAGGCCACCGAGAGTGCCAAGATGGGATGGGCAGTGCTGGGCAGCCATCCCAGAAATCTCCCAAAGCCTGACTCTTGAAGTGCAAGTTAGTCAAACAGAGAAAGAACTGGAACAGAGAGAGCAAAACCTAACAGCAAGAGAACATGGCCTGTTTGTGGACCTGTGAGTAATTTGGCATAGAGATAAGCTAGCGTCTGATGGTGAGGGGTCTCATGTAACCTGCCAGTCTGGGGACGAACAAGTGAATTTAAATAGCAAGGGACATATATGGTCAGGTTTGAGGTCTAGAAGTTTCTCTCTGGAAAACTGAAGATAGATTACAGGCGGGAGTATGACTCACCACCAGGATGTTCACTGTTCTTGGGGACATTAGAAGCTGGAGAAAATCTTTCTTATCAGCCCTCAGTTTCAAGGGGAAGCAGCAGCCCGTTAAGGTAATGTGCTAACTCCCAGACCGACTGATTTTGTCCTTTTAATGGGCAATAGTATATCTCCTCACCAGATGTGCTGTACTACTATTTTTAAGTCCAGACAATCCCACCCTCCTAGAATCTGCCTCTAATTCTTGGAATTTGGGGTAAAACCACATGTTTTTCATCATTCCTAAAAAACCGCCAGCTTGAAACACATAGTTGTGTGACACTGGGGAAGAAGCTGGGGACATCTGTGTCATGTTTCTGTTCCCATTCATATTTCTCTGGTATGTTAAAGCAGAATCACCCCAGGCTCTGAAGATGATGGAGGAAAATCACAGGGCAGGCAGGATCCTAAGAAATGAGGCCGCCCCAGATAGATCCTTCCCCCAAAGGGACAGGAAGCGGCAGAGGGGCTCCCACACCCAAGGCCACTCCCTCCCCTGAATGACACACATCTGGGGGCTGCTCAAAGTGCAAACATCTATTTTGGTCCTGTTGCCTTGGTCTCTTTATCTTGCTCACCTCTCAGAGGACACGTGGTTGGCTTGAACGCTGTGCTCAGGACAGGAGGGAAGGCATGCACACGTGAGTCATTCTGCAGGACAGCTGGGCTTCTGCGCCAGCCTGGTCCCAGGCCCCATGGAAGACAATTAGATGGCTGTGGTCTGGGCCCTGCAGGTTTTTACATACTCATTTGCCCCTGCAGACCCCAAACGCCATAGGGCTCATTTGCTGACCTTTAGATTCTGATAGGGCTGGTTCTGACATTTCCTCAGCACGCTGAGGCAGCCCTGAGCACACGGCAATGGTCATCCTTCTACCGGCGCCCCAGAGGCACAGCGGGCCCACTGCCAAGCTGGACTCCCCGCGGAGCAAGGCTGCCAGCCCTGACTTCATGGAACTCCCCTGCTGCTCTCAGTGGATTTGTGGGCTTTTCTTTTCCTTCCTCTCGTGGACCTTTGGACGGTGTTATCACTGATGCAATAGGAACCGAGTGTCCTGGTTCACCCGAGAATGGGTTGCATTTCAGCAGTAGGAGGTGTTTGCCCCACAGCCACAGAAACCAGCAGGGCCTGGGCGTGGCACACCCAGACAGGCCACAGGCCGGGGAGCTGGCTCTACCCATGCCACAGGGCATTTGGGAGAATTCTGCAAGTCACTATTCTAAGCCCAGGCCAGGGTTTAAAGGGAAGGGAGAGAGAGTTCAGTCTATGTGGCTAAGTGTTGAGACGCATGACTTTCAAATTCAATTAAAAAAAAAACAACTATGAATTGTTATCCACATTTCAGTTGAGACATTTCACTTAAAAAATCAAGGCTTCCATCTTCCCTTGCAAAGTAGGATGACACAGTGATGTTCAGCCCATGTATTTGCAAACCAGCAATGAGCTCCAGTTCAGGGGCCACTCTTCCCTCAGAGAGGAGCCTTGTTCTCCCATTTGCCAGAATCTCACCCTGTGCCTTTTAATAATTTATATTACCTGCCTACAGCATTTGAGCTGGTGGGATCGTGCTTCCTCAGTGGACTCTGGAGGTCCAGTCTGGGGAGAAGTGGGCCAAAGCCCGTTCTGAGGACATCCCGTCCTCCGGCATGGGAGACGATTCCTCGGCTCCTCCTGCCTGCAGATGGCTGCACTTTAACTTTTATCCACAACTGCTCAGAAAAATACAACCTCACAGTAAGAGGAAAGAGTCTCTTGCCTTCCAGGCTGTGCTGTAGGTTTACACACAACTCACTCTAAGTCCTTATGGAGCCAGGAATCACCTCTGTGCCCTTCGTGCCACCTTCCATCAGTGCCCCCAAAATGAGGGAGTGGGTGCCTGAGCACAGGTACAGAGACTTGCATCTGGTTAATGGCGAGAATCCAGGCAAGTGGGAACAGTCGGCCCCAAAGGCAAATTTGAATTTAATCTCTTTCAGGAAACATCTGCTCGTGATATTTAAGGGGCCAGTTTTCCTGACTTTTTCCCATGAAGTTATTTTTTTTAAAAAAGGAAAACCTTCAAATTTGGGTTCGACTGACATCATGTCCTCTGTTCTGGTGTCTGACCAGACTGCATGGTGCAGCAGGATAACAGATAAATACTAAAACTTCAGACCCTGATTATCAAAGATGACGGGGGCAGGGGCTGGTTCCCAGAGCACTGGAACACCTCTGGGCATCCTCTGGGCATGAGAGACACCATGAAAGAAGCAAATATTTAACTTCTCTTTGCATAGATGCATAATCTATCTCTCTTGCTTGACCTTGAAATATTAAAAGAACCACAAAAACGGTATCAGCTTTGGGAAACCCCACGTCTCCTCCACTGCTGACAGAGAAGGGCAGGTGCGCTCGACAGCAAGGCCCTGATCTCTGAGGTTCACCTCTCCCTTATCACCAACCTGGCCCAAGACTGGGCATATGACCCTTATCTAATGCCCTGCCTGCCCGCCTCACCCAGCCTGCTTCCCCATTCCCCAGTTAGTACAGCGCTGAGCCGTTTAACTGAACTGCTTCTAACGGTCTGGGATAGCAGCTCTCTGTGAACACACGGAGAATCAGAATACCTTGACTTAGAAAACAGCATTCTAATCTGCAGAGTGGGATTCCCGAACTGCCTACCCGGGGTTGAACTTAACTCCCACCAGCTAGAATCCTTTAAACCATTCCTCGGTTCTTTTCTGAGTTCAAGAAATGAGCCTCAGAACAATGTCAGGATTCCTTCCCTTGCCTGCCAGAGACCCACCTTCTGAATTCTGGTCTCTGGTCTGAGGACCCGCCTCTTCACAAGAATTCACAATGGGGAGTCTCCGTGTCCGGAGGACCAGGTGTGCCACTGGACCACGACGATCATTTTCAGCCTACCACAAACGAATCACCTCCAGTGACAGAGCCCAGCTCTTTGCTCTAGAGACACATGTGCTTGGTGTCTGATGACGCTCCTGCTTCGTTGGAAGCGCCCATCGTGCCCTGCTGGGTGGGGATCTAAGGTTTCATGTGCATGGAGGGCTGGATCTGCTACTGGCTTCTTAGCTCTGAAAATTTCATCGACTGCTTCCCCTGAGTGTGGCAAAGCCTTGCACCCTCCTCGAAGTCACCCTCTCCAGTATATGATAAACTGGACTCGTCAGAGGAGAAGGAATGAGGACAGGGTTTATGGGGTGCAGATCTGAGTTGGACCTTCTTTTCTGCAACTTAAACCCCCCAGCTCACTTTCCTTGCCTGCCTGCTCTACCTACCCCATGTGAGGGCCAAATGACACAATAATGGTGAAAAACTCTATTATAAATTCTCATATATATAAGTTAGTTAGTAACTAGCACTGAGAATGCATGGGAGTTTCTGGAAGTGACCTGTGGTGATTACTTCCATGAGAGTTGGGGACATTTCATTCTGTGCCTCTGCCACGTGGCTGTCAAGTCTGATAAATGTTCCCAGGGTTAAAAGGCTGGTTTCTTAGGATACCAAGAAAATAAGGCCAGTTGTCAAGTCAGTAATATCTGATGGGAAGCCTTTTAGAGAATCATGAAAACATATGGCAAAAATTAATCAATTTTTATTTCATTATTAATCACTAAATAATGCTCATGATATAATAATTATTAAAGATACTGGATCTTTAATTAAATTTAGTTGCATTATTAGTTATTAAATAATTGCTTGTACTATGCTTGTTACATTATTATACTTGCTGATTAATTGGTAATTAATTCTGCCATGTGTGTTAATTAATGCATGCATGATGAAATGATGAAATGAGAAACTGTAGCTAAAGATAAAACAAAGCACATTCTGGGGAATGAGTTTGCTTGAAGCTTTTAGTTTTCATTTTAATAAAAAATCTGTAGACATCTTAAAAGGAAAACTGCTATTTAAAATAGGCAAAAAACTGCAACTTCAGGGAAACTTCATTATACCTGGCATCAATTTCTAGCCCATGATCAATCCATTTTTCCTTTCCTTTTCTCTTATTTTAGAAAGTGAGACAAAGACAGCACCTAACTTCTCATCTTGTTCACCTCCTTATATTAAATGGTGTCCCAAAATTTACTGAGAAGTTCCTAAAGCTGGCTCTGTGGCTGGGACACACAGTCTATGTTCTCAGTAACTACTCACATCAGCTTTGCCTTTTAAGTTTAAGGAGGCAGAAAATCCCTTAAAGATTTTCTTTGTAAATAAAGACTTTAATAGCGCTGATTATACATTTCACATAACCTAGGGAAGATTTTGCCCAAGATGAATGTGCATGGCTTGAACTTGACTCAAGGTCACCAGTTAACCCATGTTGAGAAGAACCTTGGTGTGATAAAAATGAGTGTGAAATTTGCCATTAACGGATGCCGACAGTTACTTTAATGGGTCAGATTGGCTGGGCCACAGCACCCAGATATGCGATCAGACATTCTGGATGTTTCTGTGAGGGTATTTTTGGATGAGATTAACATTTAAATCAGTGGACTTTAAGTAAAGCAGACTGCCCTTCATAATGTAGGTGGGCCTCACCCAAACAGCTGAAGGTCTGAATAGAACAAAAGATCAACCTCCCCAAAGAAGGAGTGAATTGTGCAGACAGCCTGGGCACTTGAACTGCAATATCAGCTCTTTGCTGAGTCTCCAGGCTGCTGGCTCACTCTGCAGATTTTGGACTTGCTAGCTGCCATAGTTAAGTGGGTTAATTCCTTAAAATAAATCTCTTACTATATAGACACACATCCTTTTCATTCTGCTTCTCTGGATGTCACTGACTAATACGAAGATCTAG